GGGATATGAATCAGCCTTAATGCAAGATAGAGTTATGGAACTTGGTCAGTGACATACAATTATGACCCTCCAATTATGACCCTAAGTGCATGTGCAAAGATTCAAGTAAATATCTTTGAAGACCTTTAACCAAAATTTCTAAGTTTCAAAGGGGCAAATAATTCTGCAAATATTGCAGGCAGAGTTATGCAATTTTGCAAACTGATGTACATTGTTACTATAAAAAAAGTATTTTAAATTTCAAATGAATATCTCAAGCAATAATTGAGATATTTGACTTTACAAAAAGTTTTAACCAAAATTTCTAAGTTAAAAAGGGGCATAATTCTGTCAATATTGTAGGCAGAGTTATCCAACTTGTCAATCTGATGTACCTTGTTACTATAAATAAGTATTGTAAGTTTCAATTGAATATCTCAAGTAATAATTGAGATATTTGACTTTACAAAAAACTTTAACCAAAATTTCTAAGTTAAAAAGGGGCATAATTCTGTCAATATTGTAGGCAGAGTTATCCAACTTGTCAATCTGATGTACCTTGTTACTATAAATAAGTATTGTAAGTTTCAATTGAATATCTCAAGTAATAATTGAGATATTTGACTTTACAAAAAACTTTAACCAACGCAGACGCCGACGCGGACGCTTACGCCGACACCGGGGCGACTACAATAGCTCTCATATTCTTCGAATAGTCGAGCTAAAAAGTAACAATTTTATAGATTTGCAATGAAATTAGGAATTTTTTATTCCCGGTGTCACGGTCAAAATCTATACTGCTCATATTTGAAAATTATAAGGTCCCAGTTTCATAAGCTTTTTTTTTTATGCATTGTTTAATGACAAAATAGAAATTGCTTTTATTTACAGAGCATACATGTGAACTTTTTTTGATGATCAAGTGGAAGATTTTTCTTCAAAAAGAGGGAGATTTTAGAATTTGCAATTTAAACAAAGAAGGAAGTTCTGACATCAAAAATAGGGAGATTTCTTAAATTTGTGAAAATACCCCTTATTTTAAGGAAAATCTTTGAAAATATGGCTGCAGAAAGAGGTAGTCTCCCGCTTAAAATCGTATTATGTAAAGATTTTATAATATTTCATGATAGATATATTTGATGTTTAATTTGGTGCATTTTTCTGAACAAGCAATCAACATTTTTCAACAGATTATTGCTTTAAGAACATTATTTTCTGAAATATTTATCACAGTTATATAACCAACAGATAGGAAACTCTGAAAATAGACAAGAGTCTGATTCAGACCCACAATCCTTTGCGAGCTTCGGTGATAATCGGGCTTTCCCACTAGTCTCCGATTTTCACGCTATCGTTAAACTTTGGCGATATGTGTGAATTATTGCTTACATTGCCGACATGGATTTTCATCGGAGAAATATTTGTGTGGAAAAGTGTTTTGTACGTTTTAGAATAAATAACTATTGCTTCTTACATATTAGTAAAAACATGTTTAGTCTTTTTTGTTGATGTACCTCTGGGAATTCAATATGGCGGTATTGTGGCTTCTTTTACCCAGGATGCATCAAATCTGTCGACATATGATAACTTGCGGGAACACAATTCAGCCGATACTGATTTTAACTGTGTGACATCACAGTCTCTTCACCATCTTATATTTAGCTCCAAGTATTTATCTTTTTTTCACAAGTTTAAAGAACATCATGTTGTTAGAACTTTCATTTTTGCTCTTGTATTTAATTTTTTTTAGCACTTACATAATTTGTATATAGCAAACTATACCAAATTATACCAAGACATGTTTAATTGTAGTGAGAAGGGTTTACATAGCGCGTTTCCGGGCCATTCTATATGAAAGACCCTGCTTAGGATATGTTTTCTACCAATTCAAACACATATTTTGTGAAAATACAATTCATGAGCTGTACCCCTTTGGCTAGTCCAACTAATTAGACTTGTCAAAGAGACACCGAGATAATTTTGGACGGGCGCTGTCTTTTTCCAAGTCCAACCACGAACTGCATTTTTATGCACGGACGCTTCCCAATTAGAAGTTGTTGGGAGCGAAAACTAAAAAAGTTTCAAAGAAACGGTCTACATTACCTGAAAGAGAACCGTTTTTTATGCAAGGTTCCAAGTTATCATACTTTAAAGTCGAACACAAGTCTAAATATTCCACTTTAACTTTTTAAATCACTGAAAATTATTGTAAGCGGCCATATTGGAAAATGACGCAAGCGGTGACAGGGTAAAACAGGGTAAAATTGTAAAATTTCCATGGTGTAACACAGGTATCGGCGGCAATCGATTGTATTTGTCAAGCTTTATAATATAATTTGTTTAAGTTATTTATTATGAATTATGCAGGAATAACTTTTTTTTCACACAAGAATATTTCAGCATTAAAAATAAAATGTGAAAAGGATATTCTGATAACCTTACTTAGATGTCCGACGTCAGATCATACTGCATTTTAAAAGTCCATTTAAATTGTCAAATTAGAAATTGTAATGTCGGATTTTTTAACATCTGTGATCATTAGGTGAAATTTCTGAACTGCCTTTTTATTTTATAACCCTGCCATGATTTCGCACATATGAAAATACAATGTAATTGTAGGTACATCTTAATGAATTATAAGTATACTATACATGATGAAGCAAAGAAGAATTTCAATTTATATTAAACTCCCTATCAATTTCTAGTTTATTATCTTTAAAAAAATTGAGGACAGTTGTGTAGGGAAAGAAGTTCAAAACAACCAAAAATAACTTTAAATTCTGAGAAAAAAATCTTAAAATTTCAAACTATAAAATGGAATTTCAGACAGTCCTCAGTAAAATGCAATTGTCGAACAGATATGACGGGGTTTATGATAAAAACGCAGCAAGCGGAAATTTAGTGACCCTTATTTAAGACGTAGAATAGCATAACAATGTAAGACAGATGGGAGAAATAGTCTGATTAGATTACTGTAGTCGTCTGTTAGAACGACTGTCGCAAAATGACACCAAAACCTATATCCATTTAAAATTCCATGTTATCTAGTTCCCGCTTTTCATTGAACGGCACCTCGAATGTGTTGCATTGAAAGTTCCATGATTACCGCCGTATTTTGTACAAATCTGTGGGTGTTGATTAAAATTTCTACATTATTATGTTTAAGTGATGAATTCTGTTGAAACCGGCGCAAGGGAGCACATGTACCTACCAGAGCCGTCTTTGGCACCCATGTGTATTTATGTTTCGGTTTTGCAGTTTCAGGCGTTTTTTTGGTGTTTTTTTTTGGAGGGCGGATATGTGGATAAGTTTTTTCTGTTTTCTTTACATTTCTTTACTTGCTTGTCGAACCTTGTATTGATAATCATTATCTGTTTGTTATGGTTCGGTTCGGTTTGGTATACAAGTATAAAATATGATAAACAAGATGAACAAGGAAAGGCCGCGTTCAATGAACGCAACCCCCGCACGACTCAGGAACAAGAACCATTTGCAAGGAACCCAGGAGGATCCTAAACAAAAACAGGACGGCGTAAGAGAGAGAGCACGGTCTGGCTTATCACTAAAATGATACAAAATGATAAATATAAAGAAATAATGGTAACATACAAGGAAATCAAAATCAAAGAAAATAAATAAATGAATGATTAATAGGACCATTAAGTAAACTGGCACAGTGGTAGGGGATAGGAAATTCGGGGAAGGGGGAGGGGGCGGAATAAAGAAATAAAACTAGGGGCAAAGGGAAGATACTTACCATAGACGAGAAAACAACAAGGGACACAAACAAAAGTGTCACCAAAACAGTATGAAACAACAAGACATACACCTTATACATGTATAAGTCTCTTAATCTGTTCATTTGAAAATTCTTATCTTCTCAATGATTTTTTTTTAATATCCTCTACTTAAAATTTATTTCAATTAAAATATGTGACCCTTCCCTTATAGTTACACAGCATATGGCTGGATCACAATAAAGTTCCTTTTTTAGTAAATTAATAAAGTATGTCAAGAAGACATTTAACTTTATCAGTAGGTTTAATATGGTATTTAATATATATCAGCAATAGGTGAAAAAGAATTCCTTTATTTCTTTTACATTCTTAATTGTCATTTAAATATGCATGTATAAATGAAGTCAGTATTTTATCGGCAGTCATTAGCAGTAAACAAGAAGGCAAACCATCTATTGATAAATGTTGAGTACATGTATTAAAACATTTAAAAAATATTAAACAACAGTACTTGTACGGAGCCTATTTGCTACCATTGTATTTTAGGTTTAACACATTGATACTTTTCAATAGTATTTAATAATGCACAAATTTATTTAAAAATAATGATTAGATTTATTTCCCCGATATTTTTTTGAAGTTTAATCTTCATGCGTAACCCACACTTACCTGCTAGACACACTGGTTGCTACTACCAGCTTTCACGGAATCGATTTTTTACGATGACGTCATAACATGTCCGCCGGAGATAGTGTATACAGTACACATTTGAAATAAATCGCATGTATGCGTTAAGACAGGTACAATCTAATATTTTTTCTAGGAGAAGTTAGTACTAGAATTTATATTCTATTGATTTTTAGAGGACATTGAAGTTACTTTCAGGTTTAAGCAGTAAAAATCAGTCCAAACTATCGATAGTGTTGCCGGTAGATTTTCCGTGCGTAAAAATGACAGTTAAAATTAGGCGTAACGGTTTGACAGTAAGAAAAAAAAAGTCTGTAAAATGGGTCAAACCGTTCACGCCAAATTAATTAGGCTACCCTTTGGCATGCCAGTATAGTTGACTAATATCAGCTAGAAGATAAAGCTGTTCCTATAGAGATCCTCTGCTATGTACCATGCATGTTAAAGTGAAATGAAATTGAAAGTGTTATAAAATGTTGGGTAAATTACATTCTCATTGTTCACATGACATTGACGTTATTTTCAGATCGAATTTTCAGATAGCAAACAAAATAATACAAATTTATATTTTATATCTATTTTTTTATCTGTTCATACCTTCTTTCTTGATCTTGATCTTTACGTGTTACAATAGTCAATTGAAGAAATATTTTGTAGCACTGGTGGAGGCCGCCATCTTTCTTTCCCGATATAATTACCGGTGATGAGTTAAAAATCTCCCAAGGTCAGTGACGTCATATGTAAACAATATACTGGGTTAAACTTCCAACCCAATTTAATTGAAATTTTACGCGTTTCGATAGTATAGCGTAAAATGTTTGTCTTTGCGTATCGCTTTCTATACAGTGATTTGTCATGTTTTTCTCGTGCTTAAGTCGCAATGAACGGTTAATGTATAATGTGTACTGGTCATTCTACCAGACGTTTTCGAGCAGTTAACATATCCAATTTCATATTGTATCCGACCACGTGTTAACCGGGCAGCCATGTCGGAAGAAAATGCACTTCTTTCGCGAATGGAAGAGCTTATCAATGCTAAGTTTCAGACATTTGAGGAACGCATAAATTCTACTCAGCGTGAGTTGTCGCAAGCACAAATTTCGGCTATCCAGGAGAATTTGGTTTCCGACGGTTATACGTTTAAGAAAAAGGGACATGAGCAGCAGTTTAAAGTAAATGCTAAAGTGCTTGATAAAATGCAACAAGCAGACGGCTACATCCAAGAGGCTGTCAAGGATTTTTCGAACGACGCTGCAGACAGTGCACGACAAAAACTAGTCGAAGGTATGAACATTTTGAATTATCGACAAAAATGCATTAAACTTGCTGATTCTTCTGAACACGGGTGGAAGGTGGTACAAGAGTATGAATCTCACCCGTTAGCAGACGACGACGAAGATGAGAAGAAAATCGCACGTGCGCAAATACAGGCGGACAGAAAAGTTAGACAGGAGCGTCGTCTTCGAGCGGCACGTTTTGGTTCTTCTCCGTATGGTATGAACCAGTCTTCTTATTCTACCGTTTCCGGGGCACCAGGAGGACATTCAGCGCAGCAGCAGGGCAGACCAACATGGACGACCTCGAGGAAACCCGGTTCCTGCTTCTAGTGTGGAAGACCTGGTCACTGGCGTGCTGATTGTAGAGCACGTGCTATGGTTGAGGGCACTCAAACTGAGAAATCTGATCAGATAAGTAAAATTTTATTTTGCGGAATTAATAAAAATACAAAAAATAGAAAAAAGCTTGAGAAATCGAATAAACCCTATTTGTCTAGGTATGAAAATTATAGTAACGAGTAGTATATGCGCCTCTTTAGGGGCACGACTGCGCATGCGCGGCGCCATATTGGATTCTATTTTTAGAATGACATCATCGTTCTATTTTGAGAATGTGATCATCCGTCTATTTTTAGAATGACATTATCGTTCTATTTTTAATCTCCCGGAAGTATACGGAGCTGACTCGTATACACGATCTTAGGGCTTGAATCGCGGACATTGAGGGTCAGGTCCTCGGCCCTAGACGGAGAGATAATTAACATCATGAAAGATAAAAGAAATGTTTCTAAATAGATACGTGCTTAATTTATAAATAAAAAAACAAATAGTTTTTTTTTAATATGTTCAAAATAAATAATATTTATAAAATATAACTCGTTTACTTACCTACATTTAGTAAGGAAATGACTGTCATAGCGTAACGTTCTTGTAGACTGCGCATGATCTATTTTTAGTCGCGGTATTTCACAACCACCAGGAGCTATTTCATCAGCCCCACGCGGGTATCAATGAAAGAAAAAGGCATTGAGTACAGTCGCCGCTCAGTCTAGATTCACAATACCTAGCGGAACTATTTTGAACAAAAACCCTTTATCCTTCGTTACTAAATATAACTTTTCATTAATCACAAAAGAATCTATTATCCTTTCAAACGCAGCGACCGTCAAGTACAGTCGCCACTTAGTCTAGATTTACAATACCTAGCGGAACTATGTTGAACAAAAACCCTTTATCCTTCGTTACTAAATATAGCTTTTCATTAATCTTATCCTTTTAAATGCAGCGACCATTAAGTAAAAACTCATTAACGAGAAATTGCTACGCATGCATTAACATATTTTAACACTTCATATATTGTACCGTTCCTTTTAAGTGCATGCTACGGTAAACTGATTGCATATTTTAAAACACGGTTGCCCTTAGCAACTGGTCAAATGTTGTGATTTTTATGAACACTTCAGATTCTTATTTTTTATACAAAAATAAATTTTAAATGAATAACTTATGTATAAGAAAGTTGTAAACTGATTTTAAATGAAATTTATAATACATTTAAGCTATAAACCGGTTTTTTATCGTTTGGGCAACCGTTTACGCTCAAAATTTTCGAGATAAAGTCGTTATAAGATAGAATAAACCGAAAGCTTTCGTTTTGACCCGGGGTTCTCGATTCGATTTTCAGCCGTTTTTGAGTTATGACGCAAGAGCGATTTTAAACCCTAAATTGCGAAAGTCAATAAAAACGTTAGAACTTTTTACTAATCGATTCGTCTCGTCGCGCTGATTAAGAAAATATATAGTTTTATGGGTTTATCTTTTACCATTTTCGAGTAATTCGAGTTTAAATTCACCGGAAGTGACGTCACAGAAATTTCAAAATCGATTTCTTCGTTATTACTTGACCGAATATATACGTGTTTGGTATCGTTGGAAAGCATTTTACCACACCTGTTACCTGACGCTATTCAAAAAGCCATTGGACCGGAACTGAAATCACTGAAGCGTAAAAACGTGTTTTCTGTACCACGTCCGGACCGAACTAAGGCGTGTTTGGTATCAAACGAAATGTCTTAAGTCGCTCTTTATGAATACGGGCTAAAATCGAAATTAAAATCACTCATACATAAACGCTTTTTCTTTTTAACATTTTTCACAGAAACTAAGATATGTACTTAAAATAAAACTTAACTTACTACATCATGATGTTTACTCTATGACGTACAATCACTAAATGGCTAAAGTCATATTTACGATGCATCTTACGCATGCGCTGATCTAAATTTAGAATTGACATTGTCCAATCTAACAGCAGTTTCTCTTTTATTACAGGCTGAAGGTAACCAATCAAATGCTCGGAAAAAAAAAGACCAATCAGAAGAGACTTTGATCTATAAAAGACGGTGTAACGATCACCTATGTCATTAGAGTTCTGACACTCGACGAGCAAACATGGCAAACAATTCAAGATGCAAGTACAGTCTTGGAAACCAAAGATATGTGCAAGTGAATGAATGGAAAGGTGAGCTTAGAGTTGACATCAGAGAATGGCAGGACGACAAACCCACACAAAAAAGGGTATTTGGTTAACATTAATGCGATGGAAAAACTTAACAGATGCGATAGAATACGTTGACCAGACACTTCAAAACAGACAGACCTATAACACTCATCTTGGAGGTAACGTGTTCTGTAATGTGGGTGAAGGCAGTGTATGTGTGGACATCAGACAGTTTTGGAAACCTGAAAATGACGTAGTACCGACTAGGAAGGGGATATGTTTGAGACCCGCCGAGTACAGTCGGTTGAAAGAGTTGATGCCAGAGATTGGCAGGAATCTACCAGAATTAGACGCAGTGGTGCCCTGTTATTTACAAAGCGACCACATGAACCAGTTAGGAGCCCTACAATGTTCAGAGTGTAACCCCAATGATTGCGGAAACTGGTAAAATCGTGTGACTATAAATAGCAATGACAAAAGTTCTATAAATAGATCGATAACCTCATTCTAAAAATAACATCCAATCAGAAATCAAACCGTGTGTATATTAATGAACACACCACGAAGCTTTGGCATAAACAAGATGAACGTCACTGACTGCACACCCCTCAACAAAAATATGGAATATTATGATAACAGACTGAAGACGTTTGAAACCTATCCGAAACAAATGTTACCAAGATAAATACCAGTTGGCAAGTGCAGGATTGTATTTACAGCGGCAAAGCTGACGTGTGTGCGTGTTTTCGATGTCACGTGAAATTGAGTGCTTGGGAAAGGTCGGACTGTGCATTGAGAGAACATTACAAGTGGTCTCCAAACTGCGAATATATAAGAATAGTAGGCGCTCCTCAACAAAAACCGACCCCAATAGGTGGATTTGGCGCGTTTGTATCAAACAACTAGACCAACACCTTGCGGTTTTGGAGAGGATTCAGTTCAACTACAACTGCAGCAAATTTGTTTGTCAATAATAAGGCTATCACGACCCATCAAAGGCATTGAATATGTTAACACTTGTCTGTATGGTTTGGATATGGCTGAGACACTATCAAGTGAGACGAGAATATATCGCGAAGCTACAGAACATTTACTTGACATTTTGGAACGTTATATAGAAGACACCAGAACACATACTTTATACTCCACTGTATTGTAATATCTTGTGGATACATTTGTTATAATTTTGTAAGAATGTGTATTTGTATTTGTTGTCAATAAACATGTCTAACTGGAAACAATATTTGTCTTCTTTGTATTTTGACACATCCAACCCAGCAAGTTATTCAGGTGTAGAAAAATTGTACCAATATATCAAGTCAGAGGGGAAATTTAAAATCGGAGGCATAAAATCCGAAAATGCTTCAAAAGTCAGCAGGCTTATTCCCTGACTAGAGGAGCCAGAAGGAAGTTTCCTCGATCACGCGTCATTGTAGAAGGGATAGATAGTCAATGGGACATGGACTTGATGGATATGGTTGACTTGGCCAACACAATGACGGTTATAAATACGTTTTAATGGTAAATAGACATTTTCTCCCGCTTTGCCTATTGTGAACCTATCAAAACCAAGAAAGGGGGCGATGTTGTTAATCGCATTAGAGCGAATTTTATCCGGGTCTAGAAAAACCAAAGACGGTGAGAACAGACAGAGGCATGGAGTTTAGAAGCAAAGAGGTCAATAAGTATCTTCAGCACATGGACATTCATCATTTCTACGCTTTAAATACGGAGACAAAGGCGAAACTTTGCGGAGATATGTATCAAGACGCTAAAAGCATAAACTGTTTAGATATATGATAAAAAACAGAACCAACTTATGTTGACGTCTCAGGAATATTGTACTTTTCGTATAACTCAACTATACATAGAAGTCTGGCGATAAACCAATAAACATTACAAAAAGAGTCAGAAGGAGAAAGCAGA